AGTCCCAATACAGACATAATCTTGGAGTACATATTCAGCTTTGTTTACATACCCTTTAGCTTTTCCCACTAAGTTAAGGGGCGAATCTTCTGCTTTCTCAAATATAACCTGTGTATTCGGCATGGAAACGCCTACATTGATCTTTAAATAAAGAAAAATAAAATTGTGGACAATGTCAATGACAAAGAATTGTTTTACAAATCGCAGAAACTTTTTAATATTCGTAAAAAAAAAAGTTTGTTGTCGACTATTATAATAAACCATTGTTCGTATTTGGAACTGCTACAATTTATGACATTTTTTGCAAAAATATATTTTTAACGATCAGGTGGATAATAATTTTGGCAACAAATTAAATTATTTGTTTATTTTATCTCATATATCAGTTCATTATTAACAATTATATCGATTTGAAAATCTCTGATATTTTAAAATGTTGGTTAAAATAATATAAAGTTGCCATTTTAAATTTTCCCAACCTCAACTTCTCTTTTTGTTTTATTCATATCTACCGGTAGTGGTTATTTGTCACGAATTGTGGAACAATTACTAATGTTACTAATGTATGCCCTAAAATCATATAGTCATGACTCAAAAAATAACTATATTTCTTAATTGCATTCATTATGCAAATGAGATCATTTATGCAAATGAGATTAATTATGCAAATGAGATCCATTATGAAAATGAGCCAGAATGTTCTACGATTTATTGAAACAAACTTTGACCTCTGTTTTAGTTTTCGACCTTTAGAAGCTACGAAATGAATACATGGGATGAACAGTGATATTAAATTTATTATTAAATATTAAATTTATTAAACTTGTAGTAATTTTGTTCTTTGCCAAAAGCTTGGATGAAAATTACTACACTTAAATTGTTTGATAAATCTAATATTGTAAGATATCCTCTATGTACACAGACAATAATGTTAATACCTTGCGTGGTTTCCCAGCAGATTTCTGGCCTTTCAATGCACCAACATCAGCACCTTAAATGATAACAATGTGAGAATTCTCAATATTAATCAATTCCAACGTAATTAAAAATTTTTTTAACCATGACTATCAAGTATTTAGAATAATGTAAATATTTTACAGGATTTTTTTCTTTTCCATATAAAAAAATTCTGGGTTTTAATATTTTTATATTTGTTATTGTTTATAAACCATCAATATCATAGCAACAACACAAACGTGTAATAACCAGACTTGATTATGTAAATTAGGTAGCCTGAAAAAGTGAAAACATTGGGTAAATGTGCAAGAATGCAGAATCCTTCCAATGGGGGGGGGGGGCTCTATATTCCCTTGGAGATCTTCAATGTCAAATCTGGCAAATAGGGTGCCCTGTTATGTAAACAAACCATTTGAGTGTTTGTTAATAAGTTTGCATATATTGTTTGAAAAAAATGTGCAAAGAAAAATATAAAAGTAATTAAATAAATAAATGTTTTAAATAAAAGTACCGGTAACCCCCTAAACATTTAAAGCGGGAGGGTCGTCACCTGTGCATGCGTGGGAATTGAGTCCCAAGCAACAATAACACACACTAAAAACGCAAAGGCTCATGGGTAGACACTTGTTTGTAAACAATGACACGCTATGGCCATCTGACGCATGTACAGGTGACAACTCGCCCGCTTTAACGCTTTAAAAAAAAAAAAAATTAAGTTTCCTAAACATTGCCCTCTACAGTACAACCAGGACTCACCTTCAAGTTCTTTTACAACTAGACCAAGCAGTTTCTTTTCAGCAAAACTAAACACGAGCTAAAAAAAAAACAAAAACATATGGGGTTTTAGAAGAAACCAATTCAAAAAATATTTCAGCTTGTCTATAAATTAAATTGATGAATAACATTGAAATTCTTCTCATACTGCAATTCTGTAATAAATTATCTGTAATTTTTTTTTAACTTTCTCACCACCAATTTTTTCTTCATAAATTCACAAAATAGTCTCTTTTTTTTTAAGTCTGCACTTTCCTTCAGAAGATTGAGACAAAAATAGCCAAAATGTTTTGAGTAAAAACTGAAAATTGACTCAAATTTTGTCTGTTGGCTCCTAAACTAGAGTTCATTTCCAGAAATATTGAAGAATATAAGAAAAAAGTGCTGAATAATTTTGGCGAGAGAAGTCTGGTGGTGAAAGGGGTAATTTGCCAAGATTTTGTTCCTTAGGCAGGGCGCCACCTAGAGTTATTTTTTATAATGTGTTTTCTTGTATAGCGCCCCCAGCAGGCCTGTTTAACATCATTTTGCATTTTTCGTCCACACCACACTCTTTGTCAGTCACAGAAAACTTAAATTATTCTCCGATGTTTCAATGTCCAAAAGGACAGAAGTGCTAAATTTCACTCTGACATTCAGAAAGAAATAGTCTATTCAATTATCAACATTGCAAGTTGCTTGAGCAAATCACGTGTCACTCACGACGTCACACCAGCTACTTGCCAATTCTTTCTCAGAATAAAGTAGCTGGAAAGTGGAATTGTCTGATTCAGACAAAGATCGACATCGTATGCTATTATTCAAACTGCTGGGTTTGAAATAACTTCACATAATTGAACACAGAGTAGAGTACTGTGGAACTACATTAAAACATGACAAAACAAGCCAAATTTTGCTATCGATCACAACATTTTTTTTTTCAAAATTTTTATCAAGACCACAACTACTGTAAAACCATTTAATTTCACTATGTAATTTAGCTGATTTCACTAAAACAGCAAAATTAAAACCCAGTGAATAATAAATGCATTTACAATAATAATAACTTTATTACACAACTGCACCATAAGTGGGTGCTGTATGGTAAGGATACAGATCAGAAAAAAAGTTTCAAAATTACAAACATAACAAACAAAGGGATATATATAAAATATAGATTCACAATTAGGTTTTATAAATTGTGTTTTTTAAGTATTTTGCAAGTGCATTATTACTATTTAATATGCAAGTGAATATTAAATTTCGGTTAGCTGTATTACACATTTTTAATTTACAGTCTTCTAAGAGGGTATTTTCTTTCTTGAGTGAAGAAGCAACAGTCAGGGATGAAATGTTCTTCATTTTCTTCAGCTTTACAGTATTTACTAGTCTGTTAGAGCGCCCTCACTATGATAATGTAAAGATTAATTCCCATGATGGGAAGTGATGATTCTCCAATTTTGTATCATTATAACTCGATCATTTTTAATAGAAAGATGAACTTTACCTGTTGTCCGACTGTGAATGCTTGCCCGGGGAACTGCATCACAAATTCTGCTGCCATTTTATCGGTATCATATGGATCTGTTGTTGTGCTGAAAATACAAAAAGAATTCATAAAATTGTTTTCTAAAATGGAGGACTGAATATCATGCACATTTCTTGTACAGAGTGATTGAAACCCACACAAAAACTAAGATAATGTTTCTTCGTGCTGAAAATTCTTTTTTCTCCCATCATTTTACTTCCACGGCTTATCCATCCATAATACAGTGAAATACTTTATTTTAGCCAGAATTACTTTTTGCTGAAAAAGCTTTTTGGGTGTTTTGTATGGAATTCATTTTCACTGATTTTTGACGAGTTGAATGTGAGACATATTCCCTGGATTTTATTTTCACTGAAGCATCCCTTCAGCGAAAATAACAAAAATAAATTTCAAGCGAAAATAAAGTATTCTACAGTATTAAATCGTATGATCATTGATCTCTCTATGACCAAAATAACTTTTAAAATATAGAACAAATTTCAAAGAAACTTTGAATAACCAGGCTAGTTATAGTGAAGCTGCCATGGCAACTTATTTTTATGACAAAACTGACATACAGCCATATATAATATTTTTTTAGATGACCTTACAAGGTCATGTATTGGAACTTACTTCTTTTTCTGTAAAAAATCTGCTTCCAATGTAATACATTCTAAATATTGAGTATTGGGGTCAAATCTGTAAGGTGTCACTGCAAGAAATACACACAGTAGTGTTACAAACACATAATATATCTCATAATTCAGCCTGATATGAAATATTCATTTTATAATAAACTAACAGAATACAATTTATAACATCTTGAGCTTCACACTTACTTTTGTAACAAAAATGATACGAATAAATAAATAACCTGTTATAACCCCACCATACACTACAAACTGGGTCACAGGCATGTTTAGTAAAGTAACGACCCATGAACTCAAAACTCAGCATCTATTTTGGTATGAAGATTATATTAAAACAAACTCACCTTCTATGTCTTGGTTCAAGGATAACACTGCCCATTTTCTCTGAATAAAAAAATAAGAAATATTATCGTAATAAATTCACTTATGTTCTGTATTCCTTCTAATTATCGGAGTGCAAGGAAACATCTTTGCAGGGTTGTGTTGATTTCTACAATCCAGTGAAAGATGGCCGATGGAGAGCCATTTCAGTTTTTAAACTCATTCATAATAAAACAAATGATCATGAAGCTTTTATTTTTCATATGATATGTCAGTTTTTTAGCGATATATAAAAAATATATAAAAAATATATAAAAATATATAGAAATATAAAAATAAAATTGCATTTAATGTATACTAGATTATTAAAATATAACTTATTTTGACTTTATAAACACCTCTTTCATTTATGTAAAGTACATGTGACACTGATGACTTGTTTATTTTGTAGTTCAGTTTCTATATGCTTCTCTATACACAGTATTGGTATACTTACTTGCGGTAAACTGAACCCCATAGTGCCGGGGTGCATACTATGATGAGCACGTAGAGTGAACACATATTTATGATGCGGACTTGTACGTACTTCAACATGTCTAGAAACAAACAAGTAAAAATAATTAAAGCTCTGTGTGAAAAACCATGAGCAAGGAAATAGTACAAGGTTATCACTAGATAGCACAACGTATACATGAACAAAGTACAGCAATTGTTTCACAGACACATAGCTGAGGGTGATGAAATCCAGTGCTGCCTGTGTATATCCTTTGCTGTGTTCTCATAAGAACCTTATTATTTTGTAAATGATACATACATGTACATATGTATGTCAAAAGTTCTAAGTTGCTTTATGAAGGATTCAAACCCACAACCTATATTACCGGTATATACCCCGGTACATCTTTTTCTCCACATGCAGTAATAATTTCACTTTTTCACCACCAGACTATCTAGCTCAAATTTTCCTGCACTTTTTTTCTGATATTCTTTAATATTTCTGGAAAAGAACACTAATTTTGGAGCCAACAGGCAAAATTTGAGTCAATTTTCTGTTTTTGCCCAAAAAATTGGGTTATTTTTGCCCCAATCTTCTGAAGTGCAGACTATAAACGGGACTACGGTATTTTGTGAATTTGTGATGAAAATGGGGAACTGGTAGTGAAAAGGTTAACCTTTATTTATAATGATGATAAAGGAAAAAAGAGAATACAAATCAAGTATACAAATCTTGTAAAACCTAAAAACATACAAATAGTAACATTAAAACAAGATCAACTGGATTTTATGAAATGAAGTATAGATGTTTTTGTCAAAGACAGATGTTTTAATACGTCATACAAAAGACTCCAGTGAAAAGTAGCAGTAATATTGATTATTATTCACAGGGCAGTCACCTCTGAATAAAAGAAAGCTACATGTATAAATCATTAACGCTTTGGGCATCATCTTTTTTTTCATCAAATTGTCGGTGTACCATTTTTTGGATATTTAATATTTTATACTTTTGTTGTTAATTTTGGACCAAAAATTCATAACTTGTTATTGGTGACACTGCTTAATTAATATTTTTGAAAAAAAAAGGAGAAGTTAAACCAAATCTATTTTCTGGGCAGAACAGCAAATTGGGGAACTACATGTATCAGAACACAAGGAAGAAGTCTATGACAACAATACTGTGAGTTAATCATATAAAAAATACAATGACAGATTGCGTGAGTGCTTCTTTTGTTTCATGACAAGTGCTATTTTTAAGAGCTTTCAAAGCCATATTTTTTGTGGCTGAATTTTGTATGCAACATTGTGCATAATTTTATGAATTTTTCTATAATTTCTTCATTAATTTTGAATCAAATTACGATAATGTGCTCCTGACTACAGAATGTTGTAAAAATGTTGAAGACATGTGAAATAAATTTATGCTGTAAAAATTTTTAAATATACAAAAAAAATTATGTGTTGTTTTTGTGGAAGGACACAGTGATAAAAAATGACATTGGCATTCAAAGGATTAAATGAAATAAAAACTGTTAATACTGACATAAAAGGGAGGAAATTTCAGACAAGTTTGAGTACAAGCGCATTTTGGAATGCTTTAAGGTAAAAAAAAAAATGTACGAGGCATATAGTTCAAAATGATGCGCGTGGAAACGAGAAACAGAGATATTTTTTTTCTCAGCCTTAACTGCCTTTATTTAATAGCAGACAATTTTTTAGTGGAATTCACAAGCTAGAAATTGCAGCAAATTTCATACAGTGATATTTTTATGGGTCAGTTTATGTGGAGTTGTAGGTTACATCACTGCTTACAATGGTAATGTGCTTGGCATGATTTCCAGTTTGAATCATGCGCTAATTGATACGTGGCTGTGTGCCTGAAATTTGATTTGTCACGATGAATGCCATCAAAGTGCATTGTGGGATTTGTTAACAGCAATATTTCTATCCAGGGTTAGCAATCAACCAATCAATCTTTATTCGACCCATTATACAATAATTATAAATACCGTACATAGGTAGAGGTGTTTTTATAGAGAAAAAGAAACACATACTACTAATTGCAACACCACAAAAAAAACGAAAAAAAAATATTGATAAATCAATTTACATGTAAAGAATGAATAAATCACTAAAATTAGCATTAGCATTTGAAGGGATCCCGATAAGAAAATAAACTTACATTTTAATAACATTTTATTGTAATATTACCATCTATGCAATGTACTTATTTTACTTTTATCTCAACTGAATTTTTGGTTTTTACTTTTTTATTATCATGATTATATTCTTCATTGTAATTTTCTCTATATCTCAACAGAGATTCGATAACAATAAAGTTATTACTTACAATATATTCTGTTTATAAATAGGACCCCTTTTTCACTTTAGTAGAGGGTCCCCCTCTCTAATATTGGGGGGCAGGAACACAGAATACAGTTACTGATAACACAATTCTTGAACCTATCTTAACATAATGTCATTTATAAAGCAACAGTTTTAGTTTCCATATTTTTCCCAAATTGGTATATTCAGCATAAAATTTCATTAATTTTCTACAAATAGAATTTTGCAAAATGCGTGAATTTGTTACTAAACAACACTTGAAATGTGCTTATAAACCTCACAACATATTTGACGCTTGAGTTCATCACTATGGAAGAAAGATTTAAATGAATAAAGCGTGTAAGATAATGAAATCAGAATGTCCATACTATGTGATGTAAATATACGATTTCCATTAAATTCCGCTCAAGCTCCTTATCTACATTACGTGAGGAATATGCACCTGTTTTTTAAATTGCACTTGTTCCAGTTTCCACTCCCATAAGGCATAACTCATACATGTAGCTATTATACAGTGTGTTTACTACATCTGATATGCATGTCCAAGGAGGGTGTAGTGGATCCTGTTTATAATGAATGTATCCTAAGTATTCTAAATTTGATTTCAATCTTTCCTGCCACCTAAATTAAAATAAAACTTAGGTTTCAAGAACATAATTTTATTGTGAATGCTGTAAAATTCTTTTTTTTTTAATGACTTTTTTATTTTCACTGATTTTTGACGAGTTGAATGTAAAATGTAGAATAAAGGGTATATTCGTTGGATTTTATTTCAATGAATCTATTTCTTCAGTGAAAATAGCAGTAGCTGGTAAACTCTATTTTGACATTTAACACCTGTTATTACAATGAAAAATGTTGAATACTAATTTTTTTGTTTTTCATTTAAAAAAATCTGTTTTCCATCAAAATCAATACTGAAAAACATATTGCAACAACACAAACCATGTCTGTGTTGCATTCGCTAGAACCCGAATACATTCGCCTGGCACCACCATGCATTCTAATTGGTTAATTACTAGCTGGACCTATCAGATCTTGTGTATTAAAAATTGCCTGGCCTTGATATGCTATGAGAAACCTGATGAGCAAGTCATGAAATAAATTTCCATATCACACCCGGCTTTGACCATGTTTTTTTCATAGATTTAAAGTGGTACGCAATCCTAACTGGTTTTAACCAGTTACTGGTACATTGCATTTCAAGAGATGTCATTCACAGCAAGTTTGTATTGAACCTGATCCTTTATAAAACGTCAATCACATTAGCTATAACTAGATTTGGAACACCGTAAGATATTTAGGGCTGAAAACTAACCACATTCAAGATAATACATGTATTACAGGGTTGCGGAATGCTTGCCTAAATCAGGGATTTTTTTTAAATAAGGGAACAGAGGCGCAGCACCCTCATGCCATGGGCATGTGCCTCTGGCAACTATAAAATTCTGAATGATCATGGATCATATGTGGCCAGTCTTCAACTGTGACCTGTCTGATAGTAATTTTATCCCCAAAGAAGCCATAGAATGCTCCATTTTAACTTCAAATTATGAAAAACTCCATACCCTGGTAGGGAGAACCCTATCTCCCCCCACTTGGTGGCGCTGCTGAATTGCAGGGCTCTCTCTTGCAGTTTTTTTTCTAGAAAAACCCCTGCTAAATTATTAGGCCAGGTTCAATTTATAGTCAACACAGAATCAAACATAAACCAGTTATAAAATGTCAAAACAGAACAGCGCAAGAGAGATGAGACCGAATTAAATCCCTGGGATCCTGATAAAAACAAAATTTGAATTTGATTGAATGCCAAAATAAATCCTGAGAGATGCAATGAATTACAAAATAGCTTGTACATAATACCAAATAGTTATAACCAGTACACAAGAGACAATGGCATTTTTAAAATAGTGTCTGCTAGGAAAAGCAATATGTTATTATGCAGGGAATACATGGACACAAATTTATGTTATAAATTTTTTTTCGATCAGGCAAAGTATTCACAAAAAAAGAAACCAATTAAAAAAAAAACATCTGATATATTTTCACAGGGGGTTCTTACATCAGAGACTTTTACTTTTCATGAATGTCCTTTAATAGAAATCATGAAAACATCCAGTGATGAAAAATGACATTTCCTGCATTATGTAGTAACTACAGGTGGAAATAAATGTTTTGGCGGTCCCTGGAGGATGCTATTTGGCATAATGTAGTAGTATGTTACATATTAATGCAGGAATGCGTCAGTCTAAGTGATTTTGTTGTTTCTCTGGATTTCATTTTTTAGAATTCAGTTGGGATATACATATACTGTGCAAGGAACAGCATTGTTCGTCAACTTTATGCATATTTCTTTTAAGAGAAATGAGCTAGTTGCAGGTTTTCAGACATGTTTAGTCCTATCAAAAAACAGTACAGCTCAAAATGTTAATGCCGTGTTAACATCACGTAGGACCATGCCAACTCTGTGTTAATGCCGTGTTAACATCAGGTTGGACCATGCCAACTCTGTGTTAATGCTGTGTTAACATCAGGTTGGACCATGCCAACTCTGTGTTAATGCCGTGTTAACATCAGGTTGGACCATGCCAACTCTGTGTTAATGCTGTGTTAACATCAGGTTGGACCATGCCAACTCTGTGTTAATGTCGTGTTAACATCATGTTGGACCATGCCAACTCTGCGTTAATGCCGTGTTAACATCACGTTGGACCATGTCAACTCTGTGTTAATGCTGTGTTAACATCAGGTTGGACCATGCCAACTCTGTGTTAATGCCGTGTTAACATCAT